TTAGAATATTCAAATAATTATTATTTATTTATTAATACAAAAATTTACTTGTTGGTCATATTTTCAGTTTTTAGTTTTGTAAACCCTTAACCAATAATCAACCAAAATTTTTTGTAAATACATCTTAATATTTAGTTTATTTTTAAATAATTTTTAGTTAACCATTTGGTTAACCAAACATTTACCCACCCCACACTACAAGAATGTAACTCCATTTGCCTAAGAAAATATGGACGTAGACATAAGGAAAACTGACGCAGATAGAAAAACAAATGCCTCAGCTATGTTGACGCAGATTTTGACATTGAAGGGTGCCTTGCAAATAAATTTTGCGTCAATACGAAAAAGGCTGACGCTGATCTCTAAAACAATTACATCAACTGAAACTGACACATATGTTCACATAAGTATATGTTATCGGTTGAGCCAAAAGTTTCGGTATTACTAGAATTACATCAGAATGATAGTCAATTAAATGGCTGACGCTAATATCCTTGTCAGATTAAAAAAAAAAAAAAATTTAATAGTAATTGATATTATTATTATTATTATTATTGATACTCAATAATAATAGTATCAATAATAATATGGTGATTGAAACTCAATAATAAAAATTAAATTTTTAATTAAAAATTAATATACATTAACAATAATATTGATAATTTTAACAAAAATTAATAATCAATTACACAAATCAATAGATCTATAAAAAATTTACGTCAATAAAAAAAAAAGAAAGAAAGATATACAAATGAAAAACAAGAAAGCAGAGCCAAAATGGTATATCCATTCTTCCACCTACAAAATAAATAAATAAATAAAGTAATTAAAAAAAAAAAAAAAAAAAAAGCCAGATTTACAAATGAAAAACAAGAAAGCGGAGTCAAAATGGTATATCCATTCTTCCACCAACAAAACAAATAAATAAATAAAGTAATTAGAAAATTAAGAAAAAATGAAAAACATCTTTAAATCACACAAAAAAAAATCCAAAAAAATCAAAGTATAATCACATACCATATATTGTGTTGAGATCTCCCTACAAAAACACAAGAAACAAACATAAAAATAATATTTCAAATTAATCATTATATAATATAATACAAATTAATAGCATAAAAATGGAAAAAATGGCACAAATTCATTTACCTTATATAAGAGATTCTCCCAATATATATAACTACAACTAAAATGAAAAAATCAGTTAAAGTACAAATTAAAACCCAAAATTAGTAAAATTATACAAAATATTAAAAAATATATAATAAAATAGAAAAATTAATGGGGCAGAGAATATACCATTGGATAGTGACAAAACTTTCATGAGAATGAATATAGTCTATGAAAAATAAGAAGAGTAAGAAACTGAGAAACGAAGAAGAGAATAGGAAGAAGAGATAAATGAATCTGAACAAGAAAAAGATAAATGGCGTAATGACAAGAGAAGTACTATGGATGGTAAATATATATTGAAACATTTGCGTCAGGCAATGTGACTTGCGTCAACATTGCTGACACAGACAACAATTCAGTCAAAAGTGGTGGGAAGATTCGGCGGTCTTCGAAAGTTTTTGAAAATTTTGTATTTGCCGACGTGAGTGTTAAGTCATTGAATTAAACACTTAAGAAAAATCCAACCATATAATTTATGAAAGATCTCATAAAAAAATCTACTTCTCTAAACACGAAACACCTCATAAAAAGGATTTATAAATGTACATATCAATATATTAATCCTTCTACCAACATAACATATTTCATCCAAATAAATAAAAAAACTAAACCTCATTTGCATATTAATTATGTACAAACACCTGATGTAAGATGTAATTTTAAACATGTTTCAATTCATTCAACCTAATATAAGTATGTATAGGTAAAAATAATAAGTTCAATTTATATTTAAGTACTATTAAGTTTAAAAGCATGCAAAATACAACAAAAACAATGTAACAAATCCAATATTGGTTAAATGATAATTTTGGATCACAATTTACAATTTTGCAATTTTCATCTCTCAACTTTTTTATGCACATTTTTTGTCCTAAACATTAAAAAATGTATTTTTTTAGTCATTTAATCAGTTAATCCGTTATATCTATCTAAATATATACATTTTTTTATCTCTCAACTCATAATATATGCATATTTTATGTCCCTCAATTTTGCATTTTAAGAATAAAAAATATTTATATATAGATAGATTCAATAAATTAACTAACAAAATTACTAAAAAAAGTACAATTTCATAATTGAGGACAAAAAAGTATGTAAAAAAATTTTGAGATGAAAATTATGAAAAATTTTAAAGTTAAAGGACC